AGAGTTAGACGTCCTTAAGTCTCCTTTAAAAATATATTTCCGCGAACTCGACCGAAAATACGTTCGTTACTGTCAAACTTAACGAAAACACGCGCAATCGGTTTTCATTTCCGCCAAAATTATTACTTTACTTGGGTTTTAACGTTTGAATATGCAATCCACTATTTTCGTATACAATGATTGACTCTAATATTCGGCTTTTGATTCCTGACGCGATTTTTTCGTTTTGTTTTACAATACTATAGGGATTTGCATTTTTACCAAATTTATTTAGCCTTATTTTCATAAAGTTAGAAGAATGTAACGTTGAACTCGGCTTTGACGCTTTCATTTTTTCGGCTATTATTTTACCGTTTTTGGATTATTTTTTCCAATGTTTTTTTATGCATTCAAACTGAGCAATTGTAAATATTAAAAATCAGTGATATCTATTCATAACAAAACGTTTTATTTACATAAATATTACGGTTTACTGTACATTTTAGTTTTTTTTTTTTTTTTTTTTTTTTTTTTTTTTTTAGTGGGGGTTTTCAATGTTCCACTCGTTACCGTATTATTATTTATTCGTTTGAAACGTTTACGAACCGTGCGAGTTTTGAAACGTTGCTTTGAAGTTTCAACTGTCACCGACATTGCAGTAATCGTACGTAACGTTTTTACGTCGTCGCGTTCCCGCGCGGATCCGCACAAAATGATTGGTCCCCCGAAGCGAGAGGCGGGGCTTCCTCTTGTCCGTTTCGTCCGCTACATGCACGTGTCCGGACCTCTGCAACCGCACTTATACAAGATAGGTACCTGCGTATCGACATCCGACCATGTGAACCAAAGAGGAAAAATGAAAAAACGGCCACCGCAACCCGGCGGGTAGATTTACCGCGTGCCATTACGTATTGTTGTCGGCCGTTTACGTCGGTTTTAATTTGTTTTCGCACACGTAATGTTTAGTTGCATAACAATAAAAAATAATAATAAACTATCATATCGATAATAATCGAATTCGCGTTCAAAGACATTTCACGAGTGTAGTCCTCCGCTCGTGTCATTATCACAGTAATACGATAATACGTTGTGCGATCGTGCGGTTTATTCAAAAATACGTTTACGTAAAACCGCAGGAAATGAACAAAGAGATTTATTTTATAGTTAAAACATCTAAAGCGCGAAATATTTCTGAGAAACCTCGTCTGCGTTCTGCATTATGGTGCCTACATGAATCGTAATATGTATAGGCGGTGATAATGGTAAAATACATTTTTTTTTTTTTTTTATAACGATTAAAATATTGGGTAAGAAAAACGGATATTGTTTACTCAAGTTTTTGTCGGGCAAATACCCAAATCACATTCGCCTACCCCTTCGCGCGATTACTCACCCGTGAGTCTTGATTATGACGCATCACCTACAAAACGTGTTTGCGTGTGCCGAACGAAAAAAATATCATCGTTTTTGTCGCTTTCGAGCCCGTCGACACTCGGAAACGTTGTTTTTAACGCGGTGGCCAGGATATTTTATATATATAGTAGTTTCGTGACATGGTCAGCAGAGGGAATATAATATTTCTAACGACCGCCGCCGCCGTATTCAATTGCCCGTATCGTCGAACGCTGACGGCGGTGGTCCTCGGGGCGAAAACGTTTCTGAACGCGATCCGCTACGCTTAACACGAACAGTGTGCACGTACATACGCTCCACGGGATTTACGAGTGCCGTGCGCGCAATTTTTAGGGTTTTAAAGAGTGATTTATTATTATTTTGTACGAGTATTATTTTTTTTTTTTCGGTTTTTTCTCCCGCTCTCTCTTCGACCGTATACTTTTGTTTTCGGCATTAGATCTCGTTAGGCACGTTCGTATATATGGTACAATATAATACGTTTTCGGCCTACAGTGGACGATGGTTTATCGTCTGCGACAAAAGCATTATACCGCCGCCGTATATAGATATATACGTATATAGATGGTCGCACGACGGCTTAATATGTTAGGCCGCTGAGAAAAGCGGCGCCGAAAGTTCTTGTCGAAAACTTCTACGACCGTCAGCGATCCTCGTGTATTACCCACGAACTAACGCAATAAACAAAAGTGAAAAAAAAAAACTAAATCCTGTTTAGTGGATTTCAATTAATTATCACAGTAGATTAATTTGTTATCGTAATATATTATATTACGGAGGGTATGATAATTCGGAACCTACTGCAGGCTACCTATTAAAATATTACCTGTCTGTTATTTCATCTGTTCTGTGGTATTATCTACAACCGTTCTATTGTTTACAATGCGGTATGGCTAAATAAATGATTACTTATTATTGCTCACATCAGAGCACACGGCCGAACCAAAGGGTTTAATAAAGTTTATGATAAGACCGTTTCCCGATCAAATATTTGCCCTGTACGCGCAATAATTTAGTTCTCCGGCCGTGTTTTACGCTATTCGTTATTGTTTACTTTGTAGAGTAAACCGACCAAAAAAAAAAAAAAACAGAAAAACCGAAGGAAAAATCAATTGCGTAGAGCCGTAGAATTTTAAACTGTTTTGTGTTATATTTTATTATAGTTATAGATTTGAAACAAACTAAGTTATTTTTTTTTTCAACAATGATCAGTGTCTTTTTATATATATATAAAGAAACATGATTTTCAGAACAGAAAACTCTTAACGTGCTCCAATTAACTACTTAATTATATATATTATATAGCAGAAGGTGCTTTGTCTTAGAATTTCGGATCTATAGTTTTTTTTTTTTCCGATAGGTAAATTGGACAGTGATTTTTCGATATTCTTTGCACTTTTTCTAATAAAAAAAAACAAAACCGGAACATTTACTCGACGCCACGGTTTTTTAAGTCAAATTCTTTTGTGATTTTGGTTGTTAATCGTTAAAAAAAAATAATAGTAGAGATCAGTTACATTTCAGCATTTAATAACCGTGGTATAATATCCAAAATGCGTCCAGGCTTATTTTGAGTATTATGCGTATTTTTAATTTATGTTAGTAAAATTGATTGTTCTTACGGTCGAAAATGTTTTATAGGTTTATAGCACGTTGTTTCGGATGGTCATAGTTTCTTGAAAAAAATTTATTTTTTTCGAGTTTGAAGTTAATTTTTTTTTTTTTTTTTTTGAATTTCATCTAAAATAAATTATATATCATTTGATTGTATTTATTTAATTTGTTTCCTGCTACTTTTAGACCAAAATATTAGGTGAGATTATAGGTGTTGTTTAATAGTTGGATTGAAGTGATAAAACGATAAAGCGGGGTATTTTTCAGCTTTAGACGCCAGTTACGGGCCTTCCAAATGAATTTATAGGAGGAGGTAGTTTGTATATAAATTGCGACATGGATATGTCTTTTGGAGATTTAAACTTTCAACCGCCATTTGTTAGAAAAAATGTCACCTTTTTTTCTTTTTTTGGTAGGAGGGGATAACGGATGTACTATATAGGACGGTTATTTATTGTTTTACGAAGAATATTTTTTCTTTAATACAAAATATGGAATCGATTCTTGTGACGTGGATTTTCTGCTCACGGGTGGTTTTTAAAAAATTTTAATTTGTGTAGTACAATAAGTCATACTTGAATCAGCAAACAATAATTATCCCATTTTATATCAAGCATATCAATAAGTACCATCATTTACGAAAAATATGAATTTATGTAATATTTAACAATTTTAATTTAAATGCAACTATATTATTATTTCGCTATCATTTTTTGTCAGATGTGACGAAATATTTCTTGTTTCGGTAACCGCGTGGAACCCATGCGGTTATGTTTGGTTAATATTGCATAGGGTTCGCGTCTCCCATTTTCGCCCTCGTGGCTACTATTTTGATCGTTCGGTGTATTAAAATATCGTATAGTATAATTTATTTATAACATCGTGTAGTTTAATTTATTTGTGATATATTTTTGGCACACGCGTTTTTTTTAAAAAAAAAACATTTTTACAGGAGGTCTCGCATTTGCTACAGAATCGCAATAAAAACATTATGATCCCACGCGTGGAGTTATGTTCTCTTTTATTAAACGTAATTCGTTACGCAACAATATTTCACTGGCTAATTATTATACGAGTATAAGCTAATAAAATAAATACAGTCACGTTGTCTTAAATCGGACTAAATTGTATTTTATTCTTCGTTCGCGAACTTATAAGACCGCTATAGTTATCAAAAAATATTATAGTCGAAAACTGTGTTTATCATTACAAAACAAAATTATGCTTTATCTCGTTTCGGATCGCAATGTAATCGTTCAAATTGGAATAATGATGGTGGTGATGATGACGACAATAACAACAACCGGATAAAATATACGGGTTAGGCGCGGCACGTGCGTACCGCGCCTGATAGTGTGAAATATTTAAAAAAAAAAAAAAAAACAAAAAACAAACGATTAGAATTATTTGGCACACTCGCGTACTGTATAAATCAACGTAAATAATAGTGCAGTGTTATTATCGCGGCGGCGGCGGTTTTTTTTTTTTTTTTTCCCCNTAGTGTGAAATATTTAAAAAAAAAAAAAAAAAAAACCGTTAATAATATTATTATTATTATTATTATTATACGCGTCATCGCGGGCACATCGTTCGGATAGATTGTATTTTGTTTTATAACGCGACGGTCCGGGCAAAAAAAAAAAAAAAAAAAACAAAAAACAAACGATTAGAATTATTTGGCACACTCGCGTACTGTATAAATCAACGTAAATAATAGTGCAGTGTTATTATCGCGCGGCGGCGGTGGTTTTTTTTTTTTTTTCCCCGCGGAGCAATCGTCGAACAAATTAAATAATGATAAATAACCGACCGGGGCCGGCGCAGAGCCGGAACTTTTTTTCGTTTAAAACGTCGTTTCGTAATATTTATTTATACGGCCCGGCGTGTACGGTACACGGCCGCGCATAAAACTTTCGCGGACGTGTACGCGGATTAACAGCGCGTCGCGTCGCCGGATACGTATCCGACGTTCGCCATTTTTGTACGGCGACGGGCGGGGGCGTGCAGGTACGCAAAATATACTCGATTCAATTACGCCCGGCCCGTTGGTTTGCCAAATCCCGGAGCGTCACAATTTATCGTTGTAAGGTACGTAAACACTGCGCGCGATAAACATTCGGAATACCGAATTCTGTAATTTTATACGAATCCGTTATCGTTGCGCAGAGTAGGAGGCAGCTATAGGACGATTCCCCGACCGTCTCCCCCGGGCTCCGTCCGGACGTTTTCGCGCGGACGGCGGACCATAACATTTTCACCCCCTACCCTCCCCGCCCGCCCGCTTCCTCGATACATTTTTTTTTTTTTTTTTCTAACGAGAACATTTTCTCCCCGTATTTGAGCAAATCTAATTGAATGTTACGATTTTTTTTTGTTTTTTTTTTTTTTGTGCGCCTTTATATGCTTCATAAAATCAAAATATTTCCATAAGTATAATTTTATGTGTGCGTAATCGAAATATTCCATAAAACCCATTGGAACCGTAGTACCGTATTATAGTAACCATTGGAATCTAATATCTAAAATCTCCCATCTCAGCTTGAGCTTTGGAAATGGGTAACGTTTTTTTTTATTGATTCTTATGCAATCTTAAGATATGTGAAAATATGTGGGGAAATCTGCCACTCCTCCGAAAATAGCCGAGGGAAATTGTCCATTTAAATTATTATGTTATTTTCGATTCGTTAGATAACAATTTCGCATTTAATAATATATAATATTATAATGTTTTGCAAATGTTCCACTTTGATTATATCACTGAGGAATATCTTGGACCACTGATTCAGTAAGTGTTACCGCCGGACGGATTAAGCTAAAGTTTCGCATGCAGATAGCTGTTATAGCGTCGCTTCTCGGCCTACGGGCCAGAGTGTAGCTATTACGACGTAAGGATCCGCCAAGGAAGGATTTTTAAAATTCAACCCCTACGCGGGTTAAATGGGGTTTTTAGGTGTTTTCGACACGGTAATATCTAATTGTTTATGTCGATTTTTCGAATTTATTATTGTTCGTTCGCGGGTGACCATTTTTATTATTACTATTATCTAGCGATAGCAGAGCATTGCCGGGTCAGCAGCTAGTCAAGTTATATTTCGGTTAACGTGTTTCATAGATATTATATTGTTTCGTGTCGTAGCGACAGCAGCCGGTCGCATAATAATAATACGACGTGTTCACTCGAAGTCGCCCCGTCCGTTGCACACGTAACACGCGTTTTTCATCGGCGTCCCCGGGGGGACGATTGAAAAATAATATTATTTTAATGGGCCCCGATATACGCGAGATAATATTATTATAATTTCTTTTTTGTTTTTTTTTTTTCTTTGTTTGATCGCGTCGGTATGCATACGCGTGTATATATATATATATATAAAAAATATATTTAACGTCGAAAAAAAAAAAACGAAACGAAACGAATACGAAAAAATGAAACACCTAATATTATAATAAGTGTTTATAATCACATACGGCGAACCGCCGCCGTCGTCGTTTGCATTACACGCACACGATTTTCCCGCTGACGGCTAAATATTGTTTATACATGTGCACGCTGAGAGCTTAATCGATCGAAATCACAATATTGTAATATATTTTACTGTAGTATATTTTACTTTATTTCTTCCGACACGCACACGCATAGCGTGCGTCTGATATACACAATGCTGCTGGATAGAAATTTTATGTAGTTAAAAAGTCAAAAATTTGTTTTTTTTTTTTATATATATACCTTTTGTGACTAATTTTCAATATATATATATTTTTTTTTTTAGTTCACAAAATAATATTATATTATTCAATACCATAGTTATGTTTTGAAATTATCCACATTTCGTTTACTGATAAGTTTTGTTTATCAAATATCGCTTTAATGTAATATTGCTATTATGTTATTCAGTACACTGTGTTTCTGAAAACCAAAAAAAAAAAAAAATATACAAACAATGAGGTTTACGATAATAAAAAATTTAAACGTCTACATTTTCGATATAATAAAATTTATAAAATGTCTATCTTAAATTTTTTTGTTAATAATAAAATACGAATTTAATTTAATTTATCTCAGAAAATATCGCAATGAATCGCCTTCGTAGTACACTTTGTATACGGCTAAACCCTATCATGTTTCTATTAAATTTCCGTTCGTATTATTATTATATTATTGCTATTATTGATTCGTGCGAATACTTTGCATTTTATAAACATCAAACATAATATAAAATCTAACGACGGACTTTCGTTGCATTATTACCGTCGCGACGCAAATACAGCCCAAAAACAGTGTGCAAATTACAAATGTGCAATTGTCAGAAGTGAGAAACTATTAATATTTAAAATCGTACCTTATTTATCGATGCACAAAAGAATAAAAAAAACGGACGGACATACTTCGCACGTGAATGCAGCCACTGTTGTAGGTGGAAAGTTGGGAAGATAGAATACAGACGGGAGTTTAAGGTATACCTGTAAGCAACGATAAACCATTGCCAACGAAAAAACGATTCAATAGATAGTGTTGCTTTGTCAACAATACAATGAATGGTATATATCATATTATGGTAAAATGATTACAACGGTGTGCGTTTCCATGACAACGATGATTGTTTAAAAAAGATTAAAATAGTAAAAAATAAATAAAAACGGTTGCCAATGGCAATCTTTTCATTATCTTGATTATAAATGAGAATTTAAAAAATGACCTCTGTAAAGTACCACCCAGAGAAAATTTCATTTCAGAAAAGGTGCTACACTTGATAATAGGAGTGTATACTTTCTGGTATAAAAAGTGTTCACATAAAAAAAAAAAAAAATAAAGAAACATCATTGTAAAACCAATATATTCCTCGTTCCACTTGGAATCTAAAATAGTTTGTAAAATACAAAATAAAAAAAATAAATACATTCGGGAAATAATATTTAAGATGAATAAGAGGCGGGGATTCCAATGGGATTTTGAATATATTAAAGGTATGCTCTTTAAGGACAATGTGCGCATTCCGAATACGCCTATTTGATTTATGTGAACAGATATTTTAGGTAGACAGGTACACTTCAAAAGTGAATCTTTTACTTTGCTTTTAATTTTTTGTTCATAATATTTTACACGATAATATAAGAAATGTCGTTTTTATCGTATGGACTTAAATAGGTTTTTTTTTTACGGATTGTCGTTTTTATTTATATTTTGGCCGTTCCGGAGTAATAACAATGTATAATGAATAAAGTAAGTGTAGGGAGAGAGATGTGCGTGAGATGATTGAATATTTGACCTCACTCGTTACTTAGATCGTCGTTTAAGAGGGTAGAAATAATGCCAAGTATAATACTTATATGTAATACAATTCTCACTTGTCCTGCGCGAAAGTTTGTATTGACGTTGAAAACGAGCATATTTACGATTGTAAATTTATATACGAATAAGGAAAGCAATTAGAACTTACGCTTTGTTGAGTAATCGTAATACAGATTTTTCGTGACGTGAAGCAAGAAACACGCGAAATGAACAACGTACACGGGAACGATGAAAAGGTTCCGGATGAGAGAGATTGGTCCTGGAAGTGTGTATAGAGCTCCACAGTTGGAGTTCGTGCGGGTTATCATCAGGCCGGTCAATATTATACGTTTGATAATGAATATGATTAATTATAACATCATACTAAATTTAAATGTTAAATCTAACGATTTACTAATATCCAGTCACATTTAGTGAGGTACAATTCACTGCTGATAATGTCCTAGTACAATATAATATTGAAATATATGGTATATACAATGTATAATGTATAAATACTTTAAGAATGAAACTATTTTATTGTATATTTTGTTGTTTTTCAATTTTTAGGTAGCTTTTGGCACTATGTAATTTAGCATAGTTTTACTACAGTGCTTTTTTATACTGTCTGCGAATAATTTTACTAATGATAAACTTGTTCTAAACTTGTCTTCAACTTGAAAGGTATTTTTTATCATTATTTTTTGTTAATTCGGTGAAAAATAAGCCAAAATGCCCGGAATTTTCACCTATATTATAGCGTTTTCCAGACGTGGTGTCGTAGTACAATTTTCGTAATATTTTAAAGTTTTTTGAGTTTTACATATAGCTATTTGAATATCTCGAGTTTTATTTTATTATTATTGTATGTGGTTACATTTTTTTCGACTTTATATAAATGCTTGGCAATTTGTTACAAAGCTTATTATAAATTGTACTTTGGTGATAAAAAAAAAAAAAAAAAAGGAAAGAAAGTTGAATGTAAAATCGTTATTTTTTTAGTATATATGTATTATAAGCGTTTTAAGTTAAATTTATATGATCAAATTTGTTAAAACTGCGAACAATTGGACGGTGTTCAAGAAAAAAATACTTCAGGTCAAATTGTAAAACTTTTTAGGAGATAAAAACAACTTTCTTTGTCGACTGATGCCTAAACACTCATATTAATTACTTTTCGTAAAAGAAAGACAGATAAATTTCAGTGTCATCAATCGATCTGTTATGAAATTTCCCACAAAATTAACGTATAATGCAAAATTTAATGAAATGTGATAAAATCTGATTTTTTTTTCTCAGTAACAACGTCTAATTACCATATAATTTGTTTTATAGTTGCAAATTAATAAAACCTCATAGTTATAAATGTATTGAAAATTATTTTATCCGTACTCGGCTCAGAATTGTCTTTTATCTGTAAAGATTAACTATCGTTTTATACACTGTATTATTGTAATAGTTTATAAATTTCATCACCTCATATAATATATTACCCAATATCCTCACTCCTCACTTACAATAGTAGCCTATTTTTTAAATCAAGACCATAAAGTTAGATATAGACGATTCTCGATATTTTGCGTGAATATACAAATAATAACGAATACGACCAAAATCGGTTTTCGATGCATTGATATCAACGCTACGGTTTCTTATATTACGCATACAATTATTTTTGCTGTACTCTCAAACCGTAATATTTAGTTCACGAAAACTGCGTTCAATTTGAGTATACGCATTTACAATAATCATTTCTAATGAATATTTTACTCTAAATATAATTTTTTTTTTTTTTGGGGGGGGGGAGGGGTTACTTGTTATTTAGACCTGTTGATGCCAAAACTATAACTTCATTTCATCAGCTTCTATTATAATATATTATGTTGGTTCCAATTTTACCATGATAAACGTTAACTTGTTCACATGTTAAAAAAAGGCATGTTAAAAAAT